GGCTCTTTTATTTCCTCATTTCTTTTAGTTGCTATAGCTTCTCAACACTCAAGAGCAAGTTTCAGACTCTCTTCTGATGTCCATTTTTGTTGTTGTTGTTTTGTGTCCTGTCTTTTGAATGACCTTTTGCTTCTTCATGTAGGATATTCTTGATGTCATCCCACAGGGGTATAGCTCCCAGCATCATAGCAACAGACAAGCCTCCACAGTAAGACATGTTGGTAGACGAATGGTGGCATAACATTGTTGTTGTCAAATGCCACCAAGATAGTTCTGATTTACAGCAACCCTGTATAGGGGCTGAACCACCAACCTTGTGGTTAGCAGCCCAGTGCTTATCCTACAGTGCCACACCAGAACTAAGACTGTGGAGGGTTTAAATAAGATATAAATGTACACAGCACTTAGATCAGTGTCTGAAATCTGTGGGTTCTCAATAAATGTTTTCTAGAGCTCTGGTAGCGTAGTGGTTATGAATTGGGCTGCGAACCTCAGGGTCAGCAGTTCGAAACTACCAGCTGTTCCACGGGAGAAAGATGAGGCTTTCTGCTCCCGTAAAGATTTATAGCCTCAGAAACCCCCATACAGGGTCGCTATGAGTTGGAACCGACTCCACAGCACATAATAACAACAACAGTCCTATAATTTAATAGCAGGCCAAGTGAGATATTTTCTGTAACCCTGACATTGTGAATAAAGCCCAACTCTAGTATGAAGAAATTGTAAGTTCCTTCACTTACAAAATTCAAGGAGTTGCTAAGAGTTAGGGGGTAGTCATCTTCCTGCAGGATGGACTGAGTGACACCAATTTTACCAACTAACCACCATCATCACTCTGCCAAAAACACATTGCCATCTAGTCAATTCCAACTCATGGCAACCTTAAAGGACAGGGTAGAACTGTGCTATAGGGTATCCTATATGGATCCAGACTGCGACATGGCTCTCCTGTGGAGTGGCTGGTGGGTTTGGTCAGCAGCTAAGTATCACCAGGACTCCTTTCATCACTCCCATTCCCCAAATATCAACATAAGACTATCTAGATGAGAGAAAGGCACTGGCTTGTGTTTTGTGTTGGCAGTGTTCAGTGATCATATAGAGAAGATATTTCCTTCTTTGACTAGGGACCTAGAAGGTAGGTCATTATCCTTCTTGAAGTCAAGGGAGGGGAAGCTCTAAGAGAATCACTCAAAGGTAGGGGTGCTGGCAAGGAGAGCCGAGCATTGTCCCTAGGTGGACATCTGTTAGACAAAGATTTGGCAGATCTGCCCCATGGCCATCTGAGTGGGAGAAAAGAAACTAGGGAGAGGTTGGTTACAGTTGACAAGCCTGTTCCACCCAACATATTCCTGTTGGTCCTGTGGGAAATAATGGTGTGATCCTGACAGTGAGGTCTACAGTGTGACCAGAACCACCTTAGTATGGAGACAATAAGGAATCAGCATCAGGGAGATGGGATGTGAATGCTACCAGCTGTGGATGAGTGGAAAGAGTTGGCCGAGTTTCACCAAAGACTACCAATGCAATGATCTGGGAGCAGCATGGGAGGGAGGTCTAATGGACAGGTCATGGTTGTTGTTGTTGTTGTTAAGTGCCGTCGAGTCGGTTCCGACCCATAGCGACCCTGTACAGGGTTTCCGAGGGTGTAAATCCTTACGGGAGTAGAAAGCCTCATCTTTCTCCCTCGGAGCGGCTGGTAGTTTTGAACCACTGACCTTTAGGTTCGCAGCCCGATTCGTAACCACTATGCTACCAGAGCTCCTAATGGACAGGTCATGGTAAGACCCCCATATTATGGCTACCCAAGAGGAGGATGGAAATTTCACCACCAGTGGAACTCAACCTTCTCTACGTGGTCCTGATCCTGGAGACACAGGCACAGGAAAGATGGAAGGGGCAGGGAAAGGAAATCAAACCACCATGCCTTCAAGCCCCTTGATGTTTTTAAAACTGCTTGCACCAGAGGGCATGAGGGGAAAGAGGATTGAATAGACTTTGAGACTAAAATTTAAAAATGAATAAGGCTAAGTCATAAACATAAAACTGTTCTGCTAACTGAACATGACTGAAGCGTTATGGATTCTGGTCAAGACATTAAGTGAGCCACTACCCAGCAGGAAAGAAGGAGTTTCAACATAGCATAATTGGAGGCAGAGATTGCAATAGCATATATGCTCTTTTACATGCCCGAAGACTCAGCATCTACAAGGGGCTGAGGACAAAGTGTCTCTTGGCTTCCACAAATTGCCCACTGTCTTCTGACACGTAGCATGAAGTTGCAGGAAGCAATGAGCTCTAAATCTTCTCTGACATCTTTCCCCTGCACGTGTCATGCCCAGTTCACCCATCTTCTAGCCCAAAAGACCCCATGGTAGAGTACAAAGAACAAGAGTTCTGAAGTCAGATCCCCATTCAAATACTGGCTCTCTCCTTTTCTAGCCTCCTATCTTGGGGGCATCATTCATAAACTCTGTAAGCCAACGTCTCCTCCCCTGTAAACTGAGGCTATTATAATCTTCAACTTCACTAGTGAGAACTGGAGCTGATGTAAATAAGTTTGTAAAAAGCACAGTAGGTGTTTATTCATTTGACAACTATTTACTGAATAGATTCTCTATGTCTCAGAGTACAGAGAGGATAGGGAAAGAAATGAGGTAAGAAAGCAAGACAGTGGGTAGGTGACCAAGTGGTTGGTCAGGTATTGTCATCTTCAGGCCATGTGTCACTATAGACACCTTGATGTTGAGCAAAACTCCATATAAGACACTGCTGGTGCTCTGCTGAGGGACGCAGGCCTGTCTTTGGGTGTAATTATCCCAGAAACTAGGAGGAGGAGGTACCTGCCACCTACCAGCAGAGCTTCTAAGGAGAATATCATGTGTTTCTCTGAAAGCGAGTTTCCATCTCCTTACCTTCTCATAAGGATCCCTAGTGGCAAAATTGTTAAACGCCTGCTGTTAGCTTTAAGGTCAGCAGTTGGAACCCACTAGCTGCTTCTCGGGAGAGAGATGTGGCAGTCTCCTTCCATCAAGATTTACAGCCTTAGAAACTCTACAGGCTCTATAGGGTCACTGTGAGTTGGAATAGACTTGCTGGCAATGGGATTGTTGTTTACTTAGTCATGGTAACACCACTGACACCAACAACTCTTTCCCCAACAATGTATGTGAAGACTTCAAAGAGTTCTTGGAAAAATAGAATGAAAGAATTTTTCCATGAACTTTCTGAAGCCCCCTCTTGTACATTCCATATCAGCAGTCCAGAACTCATCCCCAAGTTGTGGGCCCACATCTACAGCATGGGTCTCTAAGGAGTTCCTCTAAGAGCTGGAATTAGGGCTGCCTAAGGAGCTCTGGTAGCGTAGTGGTTATGAATCGGGCTGCGAGCCGCAAGGTCAGCAGTTCGAAACTACCAGCGGTTCCGTGGGAGAAAGATGAGGCAGTCTGCTCCCGTAAAGATGTACAGCCTCGGAAACCCTGTGTAGGGTTGCTATGAGTCGGAACCGACTCCACGGCACATCACAACAACAACAACATCCACCAGCTGCTTCTGAGACCTCTGGAAGCAGGATGCCTGTCCTTGGGCAGGACCAGCCACTCTAAGACATGACACACCCACAAGACACCAACAATGGCTCTTTCTAATACCCGCCTCCACTACAGGAAGAGACACAGGAGGAAAATCAAGGTTTCAGCACATAACATAGGGAAGACCAGGCCCCACATGAAATCTACAACATTTGGAAACTTACCTACTCCATTCAGCTGCTCCCTTCCTCCCCACCCTGGCCACCAGAGTCATGAAGGTATACATGCATCTTTTCAGAAGGCAATCTTGTAATGGAAAAGGTGGTATCATCTGAAACCCAGACTGCTTTACCTGTCCTGGGAAAACTGGAGGCAGGTACAAACTAACGAGTTTGGGAAGATGCCGGGGCCGATGGCAGCCTCAGAGTTGGCAGCTGCTTGTATTTACAAACAGGAGAGAGTGGAGGCTTCCAGGACTAGATTTTGCCTGAGGAGACTGAGAATTTGGACCAGTCATCTCCAGACCAATAGTTAAATTAACAGCAAATCATTAGCAAGTGCTAATGTGCTCCTTAAACACCAAATCCAAGTTAATTAAAAACTAATCGGGATGTGAAAAATGTAGCATCTCATTAATAAATCCAGGACTCTTTTTTTTTTTTTTTTTTAAACTGATGCAGGTTTTCAGCAACACACTGCCAACGCTAATTACAAAGCATGCAAATAAAAATTTACTACAATATATGATAAAAGCATAAATGACAGTTAGATGAACTGGGGACTCGGGTAATCAATTCTCTCTTGTTCTGTGCACCAAGATGCTGGGCTTCTGGGATAACACTTATGCTTCCACAGAAGAACATTTTCTGTTTATTCCTGCTCCTATTGCTTGTTCCTCTGATTTACCTGTAATCAGTTAATCTGGGCTGGGAGAGGCAACCTGGGGCTACCCAGCTGTGTCTCCAGAGCAACTAAACTGCTTGTGGTTCTCATATAAGAGCAAAGAAAAGTGCTGTTTTTCCTAATGAAAGAGTTTTAACTAGGTTGTGCCCCCTGCACCCCCAGCCCTGGATGTTGTATGATCTAAGTATGTTCTGGGGTTAAGTGTTCACTTGCCCTCAGATAAGGCCTAACTTGAAAATCAACAGAAATACCAAATAGGTAAATCAAGTCAACATTATTTGAGCCTTGTTCCATCTTCCAGGAGTGGCTGGTAAGGTTGAATTTGCCACCTTGGAGATTTATTGGGTCACCAAAAGTGGCATGCTCTGTTCTGTTACATGTAATTCCACCACAGAGGTAATAAAAAGTTGGCATCCTCAATTCTAAATGAGCATGGGGCTGTTTGAAGGCAAACAGACCCAGAGGAGCCCACCAACACCCTTTGTCTTAAGGGCACTGAAGACCTCAATAAGTAACTGGGGGCATTTCCAATACTGAAGAGGCAGTTGAGTGAAAAGCGCTGTGACTCACCTTCTGCAGACAGCCCCTGGATGTTTATTCCCTTAGCTGCCAGGAAGTTCAAGCAGGCATCTATATTTTCAATCTATGGGGAAGAAAATAACAGACACTCAATATGTGACCATGGTCTCCAGTGCCATCTATTAGCAACAAAGGACTATGCCAAAGAGAGGGTTCGCTGTAGATTGGTTAAGGTTCTTTCTCACCAAGGAAAAACAGAACAACATTGAAACACCTGATGGATGGATGCAGGTCAGGACTCTCCTTTGTCTGGACTTGTACAGGAAAAGGTTACCCAATATCGCAACCACACTTCACTCCAAAAGTTGCATTGCTCACAGGCGCCAAAAATAATCAGGGTGGGACTGGAGCTCTTGTGTTGTTCTGTGTCCCCAGTACAATCCTGAAAACTTGAGCAGCTGCCAGGGCAGTGGAGGTGGGGATGAGGCTAGTGGACCCACCCAGCTATGGGCAGCTGGCATAAAACTTCCAGAGGCCAGCAGTCAAATGTGAAAGCAAGGAATCTGGGCAGCGTTCATTTACAACATTCTTGGGATGACAGGCATTGCAGATGACCAGAAAGAGCTATGACCTCCTTGAACCCCTCCATATTTTGTGCTCTCTTTGGTAATAAGGGTCCACCAGTGAAAAGTCTGGCCACCTCCCCCTTGTGCCAGTGCTGTTGCATGGTTAAGGGCAAGCCAGTGCCCAGGCCTCAGGAAAGAGCATTTAGGTCATTCCCAAAGGTCTGATTTGCCGTCAGTTGTCAGGGCTAATTTATTCTTTGGAATCAAGGAAAATGTTCTGACTTGATTAATGCCAGTGGTGAATGTAAGTGAATGAAATTGCTTTTGACTTGGTTCAGGGATCTTTTGAACGTTACACAGTTTCCAATTTCCAATGGAGATTCCAGGCCCTTCTACAACCACCCGACCCAACACAACTTCCCAGGTGCAAAGTTTTTATGAATTCAAACCAGTATTTAATCCATACAGTTTATTGTAAATCAAAGGCTAATTGTACATGTGGCCATAATCTCCACCTTCAAGCAATTTCCTGATACTCCCTCACAGACACAGAGAACAAAGCCTCTATATTTTAAGATGATTGTAAATGGTTAACGCGTGTGGCTGCTAACTAAAAGGTTGGTGATTCGAATCCACCCAGAGGAACTTTGAAAGAAAAGCTAGGGTATCTCTGAAAAACTAGTCACAAAAAATCCAATAGAGGCACATGAGTTGCCATGAGTTGAATGGCCATGGTTACTGCTGCGCAGCATCTGACTTCAAAGCAGTCAACCTGAAGCTTCCAACTGCTCTCCTAACAATGGCTAGCATTTCTGTCTTCTAGTCTTGCCTCTACATCTTCCAAGTGCTTTAAATCACACTACCTGAATAAAACTGTACCCATTTTGTAAGAATCCACTCAACCCTGAATTGGAATTACTCCTTCGCTGTATTTTTAGAACAGGTACCCATCTCTTTTCCAATCTCCAGCCGACCTTCACAAGTCCTCATCAAGAAGACATTTTCTCATCTCTCGGAAAAGGAGCAGAATGTAATTACCTGCAAACTCAATAAATGCTGATGCTGCAGGCTATGCCTGCCACGTGGCAGAAAATCATTCCTTGTACAGAGGGAGGGAAAGTTAAGATTGGTTTTCACCTATCCTTCCCTTTGGTTCTGTCCCAGGATGACTAACAGTGACAACCAGATACTGCCTCTAAGTCGGGGGAGTGCTCTGTAGAAGGTGTTCTGGAACAATCAGCTTCCCCTAGTAAGCACAGCAAAAATTCTATCTGTAAATGCTATTTTCCTGTCTTATGAAATCCTACTCTGGGAAAATGTTGGCTATCAGTCCATATTTCTACAGTTGTACACAGGAATAACAAATAAGCATTTATTGCTTGTCTCCCCCACAAAGAGGTGGTGGTGGTTGTTAACTGCCGCCGAGTCGATTCTGACCCATAGCGACCCTATGTATAGGGTTTCCGAGGAGCAACTTGTGAGCTTGGACTGCCAATGTTGTAGTTCAAAGTGACTTTGCAGTCCAGCGCATTAACACACAACACCATACCTGGACTCCAGTCCCACAAAGAGATTGTTGTTATGTGCCATCGAATTGGTACCCACTCATAGCAACCCTATGCACAACAGAACGAAACACTACCCGGGCCTGGGCCAACCTCACATTTGTTGCCATGTTTGAGCCCACTGATGCTGTCACTTTGCCAATCCATCTCACTGGGGGGTCTTCCTCTTTTTCTCTGACCCTCCACCTTACCAAACATGATATCCTTCTCCAGCAACTGATCCCTCTTGACAATATGTCCGAAGTATGAGAGACGAAGTTTGGAGTTTGGCCATCCTGGCCTCCAAGGAGCACTCTGGCTGCACTTCTTCCAACACAGATCTGTTGGTTCTTTTGGCAGCCCATGGAACTTTCAATACTCTCCCCTTTAACACCATAAGTCAAAGGCATCAATTCTTTTACGGTCTTCCTTATTCAATGTCCACCTTTTGCATCCATATGAGGTTATTGAAAATACGATGGTCAGACGCACCTTAGTCCTCAAGCTGACATCTTTGCTCTTTCTTCAACACTTTAAAAATGTCTTGTGCAGCAGATCTGCCTAATGCAGTATGTCATTTAATTTCTTGACTGCTGCTTCCATTAAGTATTGATGGTTGATCCAAGAAGAATGAAATCCTTGACAACTTCAATCTTTTCTCCATTGATAATAATGTTGTTTATTGGTCCAGTGGTAAGGATTTTTGTTTTCTTTACATTGACATACAATCCATACCAAAGACTGTGAGGTACTAGTGTTTAAATCAAATAAAGTTATAAATTCTTCTTCCATTTCTTTTCTCGTACTGTAATCCCATCCCTGTGTCCTATGCAGTTAAAGAGCTTAGTTATGGACCAAAATATTGGAGGTTCAAGTCTACCCAGAGGCACTTTGAAAGAAAGGCCTGGTGATTTACTTCTGAAAAAATCAGCCACTGAATATTTCACTGAACTCAGTTCTACTCTGATACACAAGAGGTCTCTGTGAGTCTGAACTGTCTCAACAGCAACCGAATAGATCTTGCACAAGACTCATAAGTCACACTCTTTGACAATTATGTCCCAATGGAAAATGAGAAAAAGATAAAGAAAATCTGACCATCCCTAAGTCTGGTTAATGTAAAAGCAAAAATAATAGATTTGCTATTTATCCTTAGAAGTGTCATGTAGAAGGGCTCAGATACACAGGATAACTTTTTTCAGTGACAGTGCTGTGTTGCACTGAAAAATAAAAAACAAATAAAAGGACATCTATGCACCAACATATTTTTAAAAAGTGCTGCTCTGTTTTAATGCTGTATTTCATACACTTTTCCTTTCAGGAGCATAAAGCACATTTGCTTGCTCCATTTATATTCAATCGCATAGCCTCTTTTAAGATACACATAAGAGTCTTCCTGCAAGACTAACCTGATGCCTTTTAACTCAGCCATCCACTGCTTTCTTTGAATGTTAAATTCTATGAAAGGGATGAGTAAACAGTTTACTGAAAATACGTCCTCCTCCTGTTGTGACATTTAAAAAAAAGTCCTATCATTCTTCCATACAATTTCAGAATTAAGATAAGTGTTTCTCCACTGTGTTGTGTGTGTGTCATTTTGTCCCCCAAGGGGCACTGGACAATGTCTAGTAATAGTGGGGTTGTTAAACTCAAGGGGGAGAGAAGGGTTGTTAATGGTATCCGATGAGTCGAAGCTAGGGATGCTGCTAAACATCCTACGATGCACAGGACAGCCACTCACAGCAAAGAATTAGCTGGTCCAAAATGTCAATGGTGTATACGATGGAATGAATGTAAAACTAAAGTTCTCTCATGTAAACTACCATATAATTCACAATAAAACATTAAAAAAAAAAAAAGTCAATGGTGTCAAGGCTGAAAAACCTTGAATCTTTTAATCTTTCATCCAATCACTGCATGGCTGTCTGCTCTGTGTTGGTTTTGGCAAATGTTGCTTGATGGGGAAAGTGAGGTACAGAGGTCAGAGTTTTGACCAAGATTACACAGATTAATGACAGATCTGGTACTGAAACTCAGGAATCCCTTCAACCTGTCATGTTGTTGTTGTTAAGTACCCTGGAGTCAGTTACCGACTCATAGTGATCCTGCACAGAATTTCCAAGGCTGCAATTCTTTACAGGAGCTGAAAGTCTGATCTTTCTCCTGCAGAACAGCTGGTAGTTTCAAACTGCTGACCTTGAGGTTAGCAGCCCGATTTGTAACCACTACACTACCAGAGCTCCTTTTGACCTGTCATAGGAACTCACCTTTACAAAACCCTCCTATTTGGAGTCCAGAGAGCCATTGGCCACACACACTCCAATCACTTCATTTCTAGGAGAATCAGAGAATGTGAATACAGGAAGATAGTGAGGCTTCCTTCACTAGTACACAGAGGAAGCTGAAGGGCAATTTCTCCTACAGAGGAGATGAAATATGGGGAGACACATCCAGATGCCATCCTTGTACTCCTAGAAAACGCTACAACCGAGAGCTTGTGTCATCTCAAAGTTCACACATGAGCCCTTCAAGCACCTTGAATCTTTCGCCTTCACTCTGCATTCTCTACTCACAGGAGTTCAAAACACATTCCTTAAGCCTTAAACTCACTCTTTAATAACGTTCCACTAAGGTTAAAACTCACTCCTGACAAGGAGGCTGAGACCCACACTCATGTTCTTTTCATCTGCACCCCAGGAAGAGAGCGAGGCTGGGAAGCAGAATGGGGTCAGATGTGGAGTCCAACCTCCCAGCTTCATTTGGAATGAGATCAGACGGGGAGGCTGTATCTTTGATCCAGGCTCTCTTCTGATGAAAATTCACCTCCAGGTTTTCTTCCAAATACAGAACAGGTAAACAACCCAGCCACATGTATGTTGAAACCACAGGCTCCCACCACATCCCATAAGGGAAACAGCACCAGTGGTGGGTCACAGTATTAATGACAGTATGAGATTCTTGGGACTCTCAGGCATGTGCGATCCAGACCCATTGCATGGGAGGAGGAACCCGAT